TGCTTGGAAAAATATGAAGTATTGGATACTGGCCGGATGCTGATGATGATAGCAATAATGTTTATAGAATGGTTAATTTATAAAAGTATAAAAATTAGGATTTAAATTCCCAAGAGTGCTTATCATCAGGAATAGATAAGTAACTTCATATTTTAATTTTTTCACTTCATTTTTACAGTCTCATTAAGAATTTTAAATTTAAATTGTTCCTTTTATTATCTTTTACTAATGGAATAATTCCAGACTCAGCTAAAAATATGTTTTTTAACATAAGCTCATGCTTGAACATAAGGTAAAACTGCCATTTGAATACATTTAGAATGTCACCTCAGTATCAAAGGGATTTCTTGAAATATCTTGACAGAATATAACATTTTACCTAGAGTTCTTTCCTTCTGTTCCTTGTAAGAATCTTTCAGTAGAAAGAACTCTATATATGGAGTTATACTGTTTTAGAAATGAAATGCCAAAATATGGCCCTAGTACCATCAAAGATACAGGCACCATTCCAAGACCTATATTATGATCATAATTATAAAAGTAAATTTTATTTCAGACACAGTGGACACAATTGGGAGGAAATATGTAGAGTGCTTTCAGTAATAAAAAATTCATCAATATTTATAAAATGTAATAAATTGGAGAGCCATTTTCTTTTTTTAATTTTAAAGAGAAAAACAATTTTTAAAATAGAAGTTAATAGGACAGTTACAGTAGTTGATACATTGTATAGTGTTGTCTTACTAGTAGTTATTCAGAGTACAGGATATAGGCACGAAATCTTGTCTAAACAATCTTAGCACAAAGTATTCTTTTCAAAGAACAAATAGAAACTAGGATGTAATTACCTTAACTATCTTGTGTTTATATATGTATTTTTTTCTTGTTCCCTTTCTTCCTTTCCCCTCTCACAGTTTGTCTTTTCTTTTGAACATTTTCTTCCCAATTCACAGTATCTATTGTACATTTCGGAACATAAAAGACAGATGTCCCACTGGATAGCTAGGTAACATGAGTTTAAAAATAATTATTCAGCAGTGTCAGAATATTATTTTCCAGTGCCTGTAGAAAATTTTTATTAAACTGTAGAATTAAATATGTTATACTAATGTGTTTAGTTCATTTGCATTTTGTGGAGTAACTATTTATTCTATACTAGATGGCTGGCTGAGAAATTGAACAATATTTGGTTATATTTTGAAGTTGTAATTTCATGAGCATCTAATTTAGAGAGTCCAAATATAAATCTGGAAGTAAATTGTGTATGGTACCTTCAGCTACTATAAGGACTGAAATATGACTTTCCCCTGCCACCCTGCCACAGTCTTATCTTGAAAAGTCAGTTGTCATTGTTCTGGCAAATTTTTCGAGCCTAAATTGTGCTGTTTAAAGGAAAGCTGTGAAGGTTAAAAATACATTTTAAAGGTAATTTTTAAAAATCACAGTAGTTAAGAACATGTAAATAATACTGAACTATGGAAAGTAAAGCATGTCTTCCACATCCCTTCCTATACATAGTATTTGATAATATTAAATATATTACATAAAATATGTGCTTTATATAAAAAGGATGTGCTTCACTTATACTTTGTAGCTTTATTTTTTAAAGTCAGCAGTAATACATCTGGATGTTCATTCTTGCTGTCAGCATATGTAATCGTATCTCATACTTTCCAAAGAACATAGAGAATACTAGGCTATAAATGAAGAAACTCTAAACCTTTGTTGATCAGCATGTATCAGATTTGAATACAATATATAAATATCTCCATATATTTAATTCACATGAATTTCATATTATTTTTACTTACTTTTTAATTGACAAATAACATTGTCTATTCTCATCTTTCACAATAGATTTTGAAGCTTGTACATTATGAAATTGTTAAATAAAGCTAATTACCAAAGTATTACTTCACATAGTTACAGATTTTGTAACATAATGTCTACTATCTTTACATTTTTCAGGAATATAACATATCGTCATTAACTGTAATGTGGCTATAGAATAGCTCTCTTGAAATTTAGATCATGCAATGTACATCTTTTTGTGCCTGGCTTATTTTATTGAATGTAATACCCTCCATGTCCATCCATGTTGTTCAAGTGGCAGGATTCCAATCATTTTTATGATTAAATAGTATTACATGGGGTACACGTGCCACATTTTCTTTTATTTTAATTTTAAAGGAAATAAAACACAATGAAATGAATCAAAACAGTGATAAGACAGTAGGAAATTTACAATAGTTACTATAATTGCATGTTGTTCTATAAGCTGCTCCACTTGAGGCTTGCAAAGTTAATCAAGCAATATAGTTCCTCCGGATCAGCGGTTGCTCATGGTGGGGGCTGGAGGCCTCTTCTCTCCCCAGCCTGCATCACAGTGGGGACTTAGCTCTCTTTCTTATTCTTCTAGATCTGTGCTCCAGCTGACTCAGGAGCCAGGGACTTACATAGGCTCCATCCTGGTTCTCCCTGATCCATGCTTCCACATTTTCTTTACCTGCTCATTCACTGGCAGTTTGATTACAGTCTTGGCTGTTTTGAATACTGCTATAAGAGTACAGATGTCTCTTCAACTTGCTGATTTCATTTGGATTCTATTCCTAGTAGAGGGATTGCAGGAACATATCATAGTTCTATTTTTAATTTTTTAAGGACTCTATGTACTGTTTCCCGTAAAGGTTGTACTAATTTACTTTCCCACAAATGATATGTAAAGGTTCCCCTTTTCTCTGCATCCTCACCAATATTTGTTACCTTTTGTCTTTTTTATAATAGCCATTCTTTTTTTTTTTTTTTTTTTTTTTTTTTTTTTTTTTTTTTTTTTGGTTCCAGGGATCAAACTCATATGCTTGCCAGACCTATGCCACTGAGCTAAATCCCCAGCCCATTCTTACTGGAGTGAGGTGATAAAGTAGCTTTAATTTACATTTCCTTAGAGATTAGTGATGTTGAGTATTGTTTCATGTTCCTATTGTCTGTTTCTTTGTATTATTTTAGAAGTATCTTTTCTGGTCTCTTGCTGATTTTAAAATTAGATTATTTATGTAAAGTTTTGTTTGTTGATTTGTTTTTGTTTTGCTGCTGCGTTGTTCTGAATTCCTTATGCATTTTGGATGTTAATCTTTTGTCAGATGTAGAGTTTGCAAATATTTTCCTATTCTGTACATTGTCTTCTTCACTTTGTTTCCTTTACTGTGCAGAAGCGTTTTAGTTTGATGTAATACAGTTTGTCAGTTTTTGCTTATATTATGGCTGCTTTTGAGATTTATTCAACAAGTCCTCATCCAGGCCAATGTTATGTAGTGTTTTTCCTGTTTTTATTTTAGTAGTTTCATAGTTCCCAATCTTACAGTGTTTATGTCTGGAGAGACATGGATCTAATTTGATTCTTTTACATGCTGTTACTAACTTTTCCCAGTACTTTATTAAAGAGACTACTCTTTTCCTAATGTAACTTGGTAACTTCATTGAAAATCTGTTAAGCATAGATACATTTATTTATACCTGGGTTTTCTATTTAGTTGCATTGGTTTGTGTCAGTTTTTATGCCACCACCATTCTGTTTCAGTTACTGTAGCTTTGTATTTTATTTTAATGTTAGGTGTGATGTTTTGCTCCCTGACCCCTGACTGTTTTGGTTATTTGAGATTTTTAGTGGTTCCATATGAGCTTTAGGAGTTGTTTTTTTTTTTTTTTTTTTTTCCTATTTCTATGGGGAAAAAAAGTTATCTCACTTTGGTAGAGATGTCTTGAATCTATCAATCAGTTTCAGTAGCATGAATATTTTAGCAATATAAATTCTTCCAATCCACAAACATGAGATATCTTTTCATTTATTTGTAGCACACAGTATTTTAATTTATACAACTTGTAGCTCTACGGTATTATAAAAAAAATAAACTATGTAGATGGATCTTTCTCTTGTTTTAGCTCCATAGTCACATAGATAGTTTCTTTAGCAGTTTATTTGAAAAATGTTGTAGTGTTTATGTGTATATATTTAAGCTACATGCCTTCATTTATTGGCCTATCAACTTTAAATACTATGCAAGTGGAGCAACACTATACTACAAGACATGCGAAGCCCTTGACAGTCTCAAGAGATATGTTTGAGAATTTAAGAACCCAGCTGATTGATGCCTTCATTCATTCTCCTAAATTATCACTTAATTTTTTCTATAAAGTGTGATTTTACTGTCACACTGATTCTAAACTAGGAGGGAGAAGCATATGCTACTACCCCAGCAAACCAGCAGAATGTATAAGGCTTTTTCATAACACACATGACTTCCTTCCAAGTAGAACATGCTTACCTGATGGAAAAATCATTGGATAGATTTCTGATATGCCTGAATGCATGTTGTACAAGTAGTCTAGAAGCAAGTAAACAAGCAAATGAACAAAACACAGTAATATATGTATATTTTATATATAATTATATACTTATAATGATTGACTTATTTTCAAATTAACAAGTATCATCTTAGATCTAATATTTTTATTCGTCTCATTATTTCATTATTAGCCCTAGCGAAAAGCTCTCCTTCCTGTTTAGCTCACAAGAGTTCCAGCGTGAGTGTTAATGAGTGGAGAGCAGCAAAGTGAGGCAGGGATGTGGATAGCATAGGGGAGCTCTTTGCTCAGATGAGTGTGTGTTGTGCAAGTCATGTTTTGTATCTAGCAAAATTATTATCATGGGATGTTTAGAGTTCTTTGGAGCAGCTGAAAGTCTGAATATTACTAACTCTGAATAACAAACCAAGTCCATATTTTGTACATTTAAACTTGGTAGGAAAGACTTAGTGACCTATGGTTCTTCTATTTGAAGATGCATCCTACCAGGTGTAGTGAACTTTAAACATCACAGTGACAAGCTTGCACTTGTCTGGAGGGTTGCTTTCACGGTGCATTGAGTTCTCTCTGCAACACCGGAGGGAAAGTGAAAAGTCTAAAATGAGAAATACTAATGGAGTATTCTGTTCTGTTTTCAGACTGCAGCTGAATATGTAAAATCTCGACTCCCAGAGGCCCTTAAACAGCATCTTCAGGACTATGAAAAAGACAAAGAAAATAGTGTATTATCTTACCAGACCATCCTTGAACAGCAGATTCTGTCAATTGACAGAGAAATGCTAGAAAAATTGACGGTATCCTATGACGAAGCAGGTATGTTTGTTTTAACATTCACACACAAACTTTTTTCTGTGCAAAATTTTTTATAGATCTTGTTTAAATTTAGATGTTTTTCAGGCATGGTGGCTCATGCCTGTAATGCCAGCACTTGGAAGACTTGAGTTAGAGCTCAGCATGAGCTACATAGCAAAGCCCTGTCTCAAAAAGCCGGTTACATACATGCATACATACATACCTGCAAATCTTTTTCTGGGGTGGAAGATTAAGGGAAAGTAAATTCAAAGTTATATAATACGGGCTAATAGTATCTATATAGTTTTAGTGTCAACATTTCTTCAGGAGATTGCTAAAAATGGCTCTTAAATATCAAATACTTTTACATCTTTGCCCTTTTTTAAAAAAATGGAATTTTCCTGCTCTTCTCAACCATGTACAACTATTGATTTAATCTTTTGAGGTGTTAATTCAATTTTGGTTACCAGCTAAAAACATTTACATCTGATAATCCGAGAGCTGTTATTTGACTGAAGTATTTTCAGCTGTAGATTTTTTTTCTAAAGAAGTATTTTTAAAAATTGAGTGGGCATAATGACATACATCTGTAATCCCTGCTCTTGGGAGGCTGAGGCAGGAGGATCATCCTGAGTTTGAGGCCAGCTTAGGCTACATAGTAAGTATGAGGCCAACCTGAGCTACATAGTAAAAACTTATCTCAAAATAAAAATAAAAAATTAATTTTAAGTTGAACTTGGCTTTCTTTTTCATAGCAACTCAAGTGAAACTGATCCGCTAATACCATTCCAGATATTTGATTTCCTGCATACCTTCAGTTAACAAGGGAACTTACTAATGAAGTTGTGGACACACCTCCTTTGACACTTCTTTTGTCTTTACATGTTCTGCTAGCTGAAGCCCAGTTTTAATGAAACTTGTACAGTATTACAGTTATTAAAAGTCTTTAATAGAAGTAAATTTGTGCAGCAAAAATATGCTGATTAAATTTATCCTATCTCTCCACCAAAAAAGGAGGGAAAGTATAGGAAAATGGATTTCTACTGTTGATAGCATTACTCTCTGTGTTAATATTGGAAACTTGTGCTTTTATTTTCATAACCTGCGTGTCTGCCTGTCTGCCCTTCTCAGTGTCTCTACATTCCACCTCTGACTCTTTACTGCCACAGGAGGGAAACAGGCAGGGAATTTGTTTTTAGCATACATTAGAATACAAGCAGGCTCAATGCTTTATTCTCTTGATTTCAAGCTAAGATAGCACACAGAAGAAAACCATAATACCACATTTGCTTACCCACCAGTGCCAGTTTTTAGTTATTATGTTGCCTTCACTTTCATTGCACCCTCTAACCCCTTCAGGGCTGTCCAGCAGGATCCACATTTCCACCCTTGCCCAGGATGTCTCTAGTTCTCTGACTCTTATTTTTCTAGGCACGCTGGTTTCCTTCTGCCTGTTGGCCGATTAGTCCTTGGTCACTTATACTTTAGGTATTTGTCTTTTTTTAATAGTCTTCTCTCTAATACTATTCACCTTCTTTCTTATCTTTAATAGAATAAATGAACCCCAATCAAAATTATATCTATATATGCATAGCCTCTTTGAGATTATAGAACATTTATGTTCAGCACTTTCTACCCCAATACTCATTTCATGGTGAGAAAAATGAGACCTACAGACTTGCGTGAAATAACACATTCGCTTAGTTGTACAACTGCGATGCTGCTGTCCTCATTACGAAACAGGAGTCACAGCTGGAGTCTGGAGACTTAGGGATTTCCTGTGGCTTGACCCTCCCATTCCTCCAGTTCTTGCTGTCATCCTGGCAGGGAATGCAGGGTGGGGCAAAGCTGACTCACAGTCCTCCAGGTTGGCTGGCACAGAATGAAGAACTCAGCAAAGGGAATAGTATGAAGCAGCAGTTCACTTACAATATTGCAAAGGTGAGGGCAAAGCTGTCAGGCTACAAGTGTGCTCTACAGGGAGAGCTGGAAAGTGAGCTCTCAGGAATGCTGTCCTTGTTCTGCCCATTTTTGTAGGAGTTTTAAGCCAACCAAAGTCTCAACCTTTATTGCTGGGACGAGATTGTGGCTAGGGTGGGCTAAAGTTTATGGAGTTTTAGGTGGTTTCTGGTATTTTTACAGAAAGCAGGTCTCTAGGAATACCTGTTCTACATCTGTAAAGGTTTCACAAAGGGCAATTTCTATAATTGAGTGGTCATTTTTTTTTCTTTGATGGTGGGGAGATACTAGGAATCAAACGCAGGACCTTGCACTTGCAGGTAGGTACTGACTGCTGACACATATCCTCAGCCCCAGGTGGTTATTTTTATAGCTTTCACCCATGCCACATTAGCCATACCTTACTTTTCTCCCTATCTCTGCTTCTCCCTGTCCCTATGTTTCCCTCTTTGACTCGATCATCCTACTGGGGAATGGGGAATATGTAAGGGTCCTGTCTTTTCCCCTTTGAGGGTGGACACTGGGTTGGTTGGATATTGGGCTTGTTAGATGTTGGTCTTGTGGGCTAATAGAGGAATTCTGGTAGTGTCTTAGTTACTTTCTTCTTGTTGCTGAAACAAAATACTTGATACCCCAAGTTAAGGACGGAAAGACTTATTTGTCTCATGTTTGTAGAGATTTCAGTCAATAGTCTGCTGGCTCCCAGGCAGGGTAATATGGCAGACAAGCATCCAAGAAGAGAAACAGTTTGTGGTTGACAGAAGACAGCAAAGCAAGCAAGAGACCTTTGCAGTGTCTTTCTGCCCTCTTTTATACTATATCAAGGCTGCTAGGGCATGTACCAAACCAATCAGTGGAGTGATTTAGTAACACTTACCTTTTATCTTGGCATTGCATCATGAATCAGTTGCACATTCTAGATCCAGCCATCTCCAAAAAAAGCCCTGCTCATGACTATGAGTCTTTGGGAGGACATCTAAACATAAACCATAACAGGTAGGCATGGAAATCTGCATTTGTTGAGGCAGTGTTGCTTGCACAGAGGCAGGTGTCAAAGCCCCACACAGTCAGCTCTAAACCACAAAGCTGCTTGAAAACTGCTTGTTGCTCAAAGCCACAGAGTCTGCCTTTTCTACTCCCTAGAAAGGACTTGGGTCTTTTTAACTTTCCTTGAGAGTTTCTTGTGACCCTGTATGCACACTAATACAAGTTCTCATTTGCATAGTATTTGTCAAATATCTAGGAAAGTACTGTACTAGGTAATGAGAGAAAAGAGGGAAGAGCATTCACAAGATGGGATGGAATCGGAGATGCAGAAAACAGATCTTTAATATTCAGTGAAAAAAGTAAAAAATACGTGTATAACTTCTAAGAAAAAACTCACTGGGAATTTGAGACTAAAGATAACTGGTAATATTCAATATTCAACTGGTAATGTTAAGATTAAACTGAGATGTGGTGCTCAAATGATAGTGAAAGTGGCTTAGGTTTTGCATTCACTTCTTTAGAGGAGGGCCATGAGACAATAAACCATGAGACAGAAGTGCTGAAAGTGGTTTTGTGAAGAAAAGAGGAATGCATTTTAATGGGTGAAGGGATACAATTAGATACCAAAATGGTAATAAATGTCAGTCATAAACCTCCACTATCAAATTTTTCCTTCTTTTTTTTTTTTTTTTTTTTGGCAGTACCAGGAATCAAACTCACGACCTCACGCTTGTCAGGCAGGTGCTTATGCTGCTGAGCTAAATCCCCAGCCCCAATTTTTCCTTCTTAAAGAATAATTTTCCAAGTTCCTGTAGTGTAGTTGAGCAACCATGGTCTTCAGAGGAACACATGTGCTTTGTGTAGCCCGTAGGGGTAACTGCTTGGGTGCAGAATTAGCCTGTCCATAAACTCTGCAACTGGAAGTAAACAGAGGATTGAGAATTAGACTCTAAATCCCAAGATTTCACTCTAGTTTAATTGATGTTGTTAGCAAATTAATCTCTTAGAATCTGTTTCTTCGTCTCTAAAACTGAGCTAATAGTATTTCATGAGTATATTATAATAACAAAATATATCATGTTGGAATCATGCTAGAAATCAGATTGCAAATGCTGAATTATGCCATTAATGGTAAATGAGAACAGATTTGGATCTTGTGTTTTCCTCAAACGATTATAAAATATTTTTAGTGTCATTTCTTAGCATGTAGTATTTGCAGAGGTAGAGAGAATTTTTAAAAAATGGTCTTCAGAAGCTTTGAGAAGTGAAGTGGCATCAGTTGTTAAACCGTCCACTGTAGGCTTAGTTTGCCTTTGGTCATCACTGCACAGCAGGGTGCAGAGTTGCAGATCGGGTGGGGCCTGTGTGTGTATGGACAAATGATTCTCATTGTATGTTGGGTTTTTTTTTTTCTTTTTCTTAAGAGTAAGAATAATTTATTGAGAGAAGACAAGATTCTGTCTAAGAGGGACAGAAGGGAAAAATGGGTTGCCTACCAACCCTACTTCTCAAGGGTGTTTATTAGCAAAGCCATAAGGTGAGGTGGGCTTAAGGGAGAACAGAGTTATTAAGCAACCAGTAAAATTACAAATATAGTCACCTAGGCAATCTTGATCTATTGGCAAACTATAGCATGGAAATGAGGTGGGACAAAACAATGGTCAACCAGTAAGTTTACAACAACTCTGTTTGCTAGGGTAAGACTAACTAAATGGAGATCAAATAGGGAATTAAGTCATGCAGCAAGTTCATGTGGGCTCATTGGATGTTGTAAAATTAAAACGTCACTGCCTTCTTCTCCATTACTTACAATACTAATGATTTCAATCAAAGTAAGAGGAAAAATAAGAAAAAAGATACTATTTAACAGAAAAATCTTTCATCATAATGCAAGGGAATTAGGATAGAAATTTGGTAAAAGCATCTAATACCAGGAGATAACCTCACTATACTAAGACACTCATTTGCTTAGATTCTTTCCAGGCTATCCCAGTTGTTTTCCGTTTCTCACGTTCTTAGTTCAGCTCTACCAGTTTTAGGAAAGATTTGTTAGTTAAAAGTTATCCAGGTCTCCA